GACCCAATTCACAAACTAACCCCTCTGAAATTTGAGGTCCAATTTGAAGACAGGGAAGTTACTACTGTATGACTAAATTACTATTATTAACAGATATCATGTTAGCAATAATTCCCCCTTATTGGAAATAATTCTCCTTTATTGGGAAAACCTTTTGTGACCTTTAACACTTTATCATGACATTGAGAACAGACAAAGCTAGTGGACGTTATTTGGTTATTGACATAAAATTGTCAAGAAATTCTTCCATATTTGATTCATTTTCCTAAATAAATCCGTAACACAAATTGCCCCTTCTTTCAAAATTTTGATAAATTATTTTTTAGAAATGTTATAATTGTGCTATCACTCGAGGCCATTTTGTAGTTCACACCAATTTCCGTAATTCGCACGCGAATTCAAATTGTGTTAGTTGAATTAATGCTAAATGTTGAGCCACTGACATAATTCGGGTCGGCACGAAGCTCTAGGGAGATGTTCTGTGATTGGTTGATTATGACAATGACAAAAGAATAAGCTATAGAATGGATTTTCTAAAGAACGAAGCAAGAACAATATTCCTTTTGTTTATGTAAGCCAATTACGTCTTTTATCATTGTCATAGTCAACCAGTCACAGAACATCTTCCTAGAGCTTCGTGTTTACTGTCTGATTTCATCGCCAGTGGGGGTCACAGAACACCCAAAATAAATTGACTACTGAGTTATCCTTCCGCCTACAAAAATACAGGACTATTACTTTCCAGTGATTATATATAAGGTGATTGAATTGAGGTATCAGTTTACCATCACCCACCCGCATTGGGAGCCACATGAAAATCTTCATTATTTGATTATGATTTAAGTTTGATTTAATGATTTAATAAGATTCGGCTACTATTTAAATACGATATATAGAGCCAGGGAATTTGCCACAGGTTTCCCCAATTACGGCGATCCCATATAAACAAGAATTAATTACTGTACAAAACAAATTTTCAAGCAACTTAACAAGCTAAAACTAATAAGGCTAATAACAGAAATCTATACTGTCCATGTTCAATAATATAGGACTAACAACAACTTACTGTATTACATTGTTATTGTTAAGCGATCTGGCTCTTTTGCACTTTACACACACTGATTTCCAGGTGAGCGGATCGTCACATTTGAAAGTTTTGGATAGTGCATGCAAATTTGTAGTAGAGTTTAAGACCAGATTTTAAAAGATAGCAAATTATTTTTCATTATTTGTCTAATTTTTATGCAAAGTGCTTTATAAATTTGTTTGGAAATGTGTATACATTTATTAGACCTAACCAGGAACAGAGGTGAAGAATGCAACTTTAGGTACCTGGCAGGAATTGAACCTGCAGCCTTGCAATTTTGCGACCATGTGATCAGACTTGTGTGTCCAGATCTGCCCATGTGTCTAGTTATCCCAAGACAACCAAAAGTTCAAAACTGTATGTTTTTTTTCTAGTATTACTTTGGTGATAAAAATCTACCCAGAGATAAATTCCTCCTACAGAAAATCGAAGAAGATGATGGTTGTATCCTTTTTTATTTCCTAAACTTGGTTGATGCAAGGAGAAATTTGACGTTTTGAGCGAAAGCCTTTTGTCAGGATGTTAGTGACTTCAGTAACTTAATTAGTAATCCAGTAACTTAGTGGTGGACACTTAACAAAATATTGAGGGGGGGGGGGGTGAAATTTTCAACATGTATGCCAAATGGGTTTCAGTGTCCATTTATTAAGGCTCTAGGTTATGTGGTTCTTTCAGAACATGGGTCACTTGATGAAATGAATATAGAGTTGTGCCATTTACTGACATTAGATACTTTTTCTAAGATAATCAATTAATCATGTCAATTAGCGTTGTTGTTTAATGAACAATTATAGCTTACTATCAATTGATTGTTCAAAATATTTAATCAGTAGAGCTGTTATTTAATTATAGTCATTATTTAATATCACTATTACATTATATGAGTGTGATTGCATGCTTGCCACTTGCTCCTAAACAATGCTTGTGAATTGGGATATTTGATACCAGACTTTTTATAGGTCTTTCAAAATTCAAATCAAATGCCATACTGTAGTCTGCCATACTGTCCTGTTTCACTTACCTTAACCAGTATGATAGGGGTAACAATGGAATGTCTTTTGACATTTGCTCGCTTGAAGGTAATTGTCTTCGTGGAATTTATTGGCTTGAGCTTTGTACAGTATATTGCAGTTATTGGAATCTTATTGATATTTTTTATTTGTAGACAATTGTTCATGGTATAATTGGAAATGCATTGCGTGAACATGGCAGTGGTCTTATAGAAGTACAAAACCTTACACTTGTTTATTTTGATGTGCTTGCTTCCTGACAAACTGAGTCAAGTATAAGTTTCAATATTTTGTTTATGTGTGTTTGATTTACAACTTCTTCAAGGTCGATGAGACTAACACAAAGTTGCGTCGAGCAAAACCAATGCCAGAAATAAATGATGAGTATAACATGTTATCAAAGGAAAAGACTATTCACTGTGTAAGTAATTTGGCCTGTCATCCTATATTTTTCATTGACTATATTTATTTGTAGTTTGCTAGTGCAGTAGGACTTAATAGTTTTTACTGGCAATTACTGTAGTATAATAAACCTCAGTTTCTCTTAGGTCGGACAGAATGTCCGGTGGTTTCCTCTTTACATTGGACAATTTCACGAATGGGTCGGATAATGTCTGTGACCCAGCTGGGTGCGATAATTCAATATTTTTAGCCGTACCTGACTGGTACTCCGACAACTTTTGCCGCTTACCTGACTTTTAATTTTTTTTTTTTTTTTGTCTTGACTCTTAAAATACCGGATATTTTATCAATTTGAATACTTGACATATACTGTATATTTATAAGGATTTTTCTCATCCATGCATTAGTGCAGAAGAAAGTGACACTTTTTTTTAAAATTCTTGAGTAAATAATCAATTGTGATTAACTAAAAATCTGTTTTTAACTTTTTCCACTGTTAACGTGTTTCCGAAAACTTCCAAAAGTTTTTGAGCGATGGGATTTAGTACGGCTTTTGGCCGCGCCAAACGCTGCGAATAGTTAATTAATTCAATTAATTATATCAGTGGCTAGCTTTTTCACATGTCCTTTTTTGGGTTTCTATTTTTTTAGTATTTTTTTGTGTTTCAATTAATTTAACGGAAATTTAGTACACTTCATGAAAAACAAGTTATCCGGTATCCGGCCGGATAATACTAAATATCCGGCTGGATACCGGATAGTACGATTTTGTCACTATCCGGCCGGATACTATATCCGGTGCACCCCTAAATGAATCTTTAATTATGGTATTTGTACAACATAATATAACAGTTCTCAAAGCGTCGACGTTGTGACTCGAATGCCATCGCTGATTTACAGTGGATTTACCGAGGGTGCTAACTGTCTGACCTCAGCTACATACAGTACAGTGTAGTTTTCCTCATTGGGCCTAAAAAAAAAACTGTGGTTCAGTGGTTCCGGTTTCATATCCCGAAAACATTAGGGTAGGTAGGTGGGAAATTTTTGAATATTTTTTTCATGGTTTTGGCGGTTTTTTGCTGGGCGATTTTCAGTAGAGTCCCGACATCAATATTAACTAGAGATGCGTAGTTCCTACCGACGAATTTAGGCAATTTGGTTCAATAATTTTTGTGACAACAGATGCCATTTTCAACAGACGCCATTTTGGCATGCTGTACGAGCAGCCCGCAACCACCCGGAGAAAATAGGGTCGCACGGTCAATCGTAATAGAGGGTGGGAAAGGGGGGGGGGTATGGATCACGTTTCACAACGAAAAAAAAAGCCGTTTCACGATTCACGTGTCTTAAAAAAGCAATTTCACGGAAAACTAGATTCTCATAAAATAATATAATAGGTTTATTAAGACTATGTTTAATGCATGGTACAGTATCTACGGTTTAAGTTCTCTCATTTCTCTACCTGTCAGTTACAACTACATCATAACTTACAAGTTTGAGTGCGTGTCCTCAGCGCCAGGACCTTGTCCTCAGCGCCAGGAACCTTGTCCTCAGCGCCAGGAACTTTGTCCTCAGCGCCAGGAACCTTGTCCTCAGCGCCAGGAACCTTGTCCTCAGCGTCAGGAACCTTGTCCTCAGCGCCAGGAACCTTGTCCTCGCTGCCAGGAACCTTGTCCTCGCCGCCAGGAACCTTGTCCTCAGCGCCAGGAACCTTGTCCTCGCCGCCAGGAACCTTGTCCTCGCCGCCAGGAACCTTGTCCTCGCCGCCAGGAACCTTGTCCTCACCGCCAGGAACCTTGTTCTCACCGCCAGGAACCTTGTCCTCACCGCCAGGAACCTTGTCCTCACCGCCAGGAACCTTGTCCTCACCGCCAGGAACCTTGTCCTCAGCGCCAGGATCCTTGTCCTCAGCACCAGGAACCTTGTCCTCACCGCGAGGAACCTTCTCCTCACAGCC